GCCACACAACAATGAGCAGAGTTTCTTGTTCTATACAGTAGGTCCTTGTTGGTTATCCATTTTTAATATAGCACTGTGTACCCGTCCTTCCCAAACTCTCTAACAATCCCTTCCCCCCAGCAACCATAAGTTCGTTTTATAAGTCTGTGAGTCTCTTTCTGTTTTGTAAGGAAGTCCGTTTGTTATCATTTTAGACTGGTCAAATTTACAGCATTTAAATGAAGGCCCACAGGATTGCAAAGAGTTAGACATGACTGAGTGACTGAACTGAACTGAGGGGCTGATAAATGGCCATCACTACAGTCATTTTGCAATTTGCCCAAAGTCGCGGAGTTGATAACAAAACCAGGATAAGAACTCAGGTCCCTTTCCTCCTACACCAGAGCGTCATTTACCACCGTATCAGACGCTGCGGTGTTTCTGCATGTGTGGCATTTCTGTGTGCTGAATTACAAATGAGATCAGGTGCCTTGTTCCATCACCATGCAGAGTTCATCCTGCTATTTATGTGCTTAGAAAAAGGGCAGAGGCTGTAGACAGAGACCCCAGGGCCATTCCTACCTTGCCACTAGTCATGTGCAGTGGACACCGACCGCGTCCCCACCGTGTGTCTTGGGGGCTAGATCTGTGGGGTTCCACAGAGGCACAGAGAAGGGCCAGTTTCCCCGAAAATGTCAAATCCAGGAAAACTGCTTGAAATTATTTGTGAGGTGGTTATGTCCACTCAGATGCAAGGATCCTTGATTAAGAAAATGAAGATATATCTTGGAATACAGTAAATATTAGTTTACATGAAATTAATCTTTCCAGGAAAGACCTGATTACTTTGGCCATTCACATACATTAGAATAATTTTTAAAATGCAGATCTAATCTCTTCCAGCTCTTCAGGTTACAAATATAAGAAACCAGTTGCATTTTCTCAAGGAAAAATAAATAACATCTGGAAGTTTTCTAATAAAGCTCCCATCCAGTTTACTCACCATTTCAAAATGCTTCCTTAAAGGTGTTAGTTGAGCTCTATACTTGCTAACCCTTACAAAGATGCTGCAGGCTGGATGGTGTTATGCCCATCACACAGATGAGTAAAGAGAGGCAGAGAGGCCCCTCTGCTGCCCAGGAATGAAAAGTCAGCTCCACACACCCTCGGGGCAGATGTCTGTGCTCAGTTAGGAGTCAAGAGCTTGGGGGAGATTTATAAAAATGGGAGCTGTGCTCTGAAGAAATGTCACATCACCAACATGCTTGATTGAGGAGAATGTAATTTCAAAACACAGACAAGATATCACAGACATAAAAATACAAATATGAACATAAAACATCTTGATAAACATAAACAGACATCAACAGATTTGATCAGCCACTAGGCTTCTGGAAGCTGGAAATTTTTGCCTCTGGATAAGGAAGGCTGCTCTTATTTATAGTGATGTGGGGAGGAAGAAAGGAGATCGTGGAAGTAAGTGCAGGCCTGGCACACCAGGCAGGTGGTGGCAGCTGTGAGCATCGTCCTCTTTGACCTGCATCATTTTAGGAAGTGCTGTCTTGCCCTAGGGCTTCAAACCCAGTAAACTCTTATTTCCAGGCCAATAATTAATCTGCCACGTTATAGAAATTCAGTTGTTGACTTTGATTTCTAGTAAAAAGTCACCTGTAATTTTATTTTTTATTTATTTTTTTCACCTGTAATTTTAAAAATGAAAAAAAAAAATCCTAGAGACCATCCATATATGTATAAAACGCTCTTCCCACTTCCCTTAAACTACTCTGTGTAATCACCTCACTTCGATCTGCAACAAAACCTGCGACACAATAATGTTGAGTCTTCATAGCTAAGAATATGGCCCATCTTTCTATTTGCACAACTCTACTTTTGTGTGGGGGTGCTTCTTGGGTGGTTCTAGTGATAAAGACCCTGCCTGTCAATGCAGGAGATGTGGGTTTGATCCCTGGGCTGGTCCCCTGGAGGAGGGCATGGCAACTCACTCCAGTATTCTTGCTTGGAGAATGGACAAGAGGAAGCTGGTGTGTGACAGACTATGGGGCTGCAAAAAGCTGGGCATGGCTTAGCGACTAGAGAGCAGCAGTGGACTGAAGTCTTCTTTACAGCGAAGCAGCAGCACTGGTGGTGTGGTTGTGTCAGGGAAAGGCTTGCTTAAGAGCACAGAGCTCTTCTTAAAGGCCGTTACACAACTGCATTCAGGCTGATTTGGGGTCAGATGAGAATAGTGGTCACAGGCATTTTCATGGATGAGCGGCGGCCACTCTGGGTTTGAGCCCAGGCTGTGTTCCCCCCATGAGTCAAATCCTTCTTCTTATTGGCAACCAGTAAGATTTGGTTGTCAGGAAAGTTGACAGCTGATTTTCACAGCCTTAAAACATAGGGATTAAAAGGGGAAAGAGCTTCAAGTCCTGGATATCAAACTTCTATGTTTTAAAGAGATGTGTGAGAAATTGAGAACATATAGCTACCTTTAGGTAACTGTCATGAGGATTAACACATTTACTTAAATTAAAAATGTTACTTTTTTTAATCCAAAGTAAATGTGACTTGGCTTTTCAGTTGGACACAAGGGCCCATTTCACTAGTTAGTTAATATGGCAGATGGTCTCGATAAATTAAATGGGCTAAATCTCTATAGCTAAGATCCTAACAAAAATAGACAAAGTTTGGGATGAGATTTTTTGAAATGACTAAAAAATGCTGTTTTGGCAAAAGTGAATAAAAACTGACAAGGTCAATTTCCTCAAAACTTACTGATAATACAGATTTAGAAAGTGCTTGTGACATCTATGACCACAGTCACAATTCTTTTTTTTTTTTTTTGGTAGATGAATAGTAACTAATCTTATGAAAAAGTCTGAATGAACTTTTTAGCCAACCCAATATACACATGTATCAAATCATTATGCTGTGCACCTAAACTAATATAATGTTATGGATCAATTATATCTCAATTTAAAAAAAGTCACCTTTGCTATTCCTTAGCCCAGATCAACATGTTAGTAAAATCAGTAGCTACAACACATGTAATTCTAACCTCCAGCTTCTGAAAAATGTAACACGAATGAAAACAAGAGTATGATGTCAAATTGGTCATTTTGACTCACTTAAATTTTCTAAAAATAATTTATACAATTTCAGTAACCATAGCATACTTAATTATAATACTCCTTTACATGTACATAATATTTTATAATTATAAATTTTCATATATGCTATTTAATTTCTACATATATGTTCCTTTAGGAGAGATACCGTCAAACATTATATTTTAAAAAAAGAATCGGGTGGAGAGGGAGGTGGGAGCGGGAATCGGGATGGGGAATACATGTAAATCCATGGCTAATTTATGTCAGTGTATGACAAAAACCACTACAATATTGTAAAGTAATTAGCCTCCAACTAATAGAAATAAATGGAAAAAAAAGATAATAACTCAAAAAAAAAGAAAATAATGTACATACCTTAAATAAAAATACCTTATTGCTAAAAAAAAAAAAAAGTGCCTCTGAGAAATGAGTGTAATTATTATTTGAGAAATCTTGATAAAGTATTTTTTTTCTTTTATCTCCCATTAGTCAATAACTCTAGTGTTATTGAGTAACAAATCCCCTGACAGATCAAATGGCTTCTAAATCTTGGCTATTGACTAATTTAAAAGAGAACCTAGTCAGGCATAGACAAAAGAGCAATCGAAATAATAGTTTATGATAGATCACTATGGGATTGGGCTTCCCAGGTATCCCAGGTAAAGAACCTGCCTGATAATGTAGAAGACACATGAGACACTAGTTAGATCACAGGACTGCAAAGAATCGGACACAACTGAAGCGACTCAGCACGCATGCATACACTATGGGATTAACCAGAAGGACTTCAAAGAACTGAAGGACACTGTTATTATAACAGTAAAGTTTTCCATCCTCTAATAATTATTTAGTATTTTTATTTATTATTATATTATTATTCATATAATAAAAATATTATTATATGAATAATATATATAATATAGTATTACAAATAAATACTAATATTTATTAGTATTATATTTAGTAAAATATTTCCTCAGGATTTGAATCAATAAAAATGGAAGGAGTCACAGGATTAATCTGAAGCTATTCTGGTTTTATCTATAAATTATGCTCATTAATGGATGTAAGAAATAAACTTAAAAATTACCTTTCATCTTATTAAAAGATATCTTTTCAGGAAAGATATACTTTTCATGCTTAACAATTATATATAAGCAATTATATTTATATTGTTTTTATGTATTTGCAAATGTAATAAGAACTCAATATAGAATATTTTGCTACTCACGGTTTTATGGTCACATAAAATTTAAAAATCTAATTTAAATAAACATTTTATATCACATTTCACTTCAAGTCTTTAGAAAATAAAGAACAAAATATATATTGAATAGAATATAATTTTACATGGGGACTGGCATGGAAGTGTTAAATCAAGAAAAAGAATAATAATGCAAAATGTTTTCTTGTTATCAAAGAATTTGTCTATGTGATTGTATCAAACTTTATTAGACATATTTGAAACAATAATATTTATAGGATGCTATGAATTTTTTTCTTTTTCAAGCATTTAAAATTATGAAGAAGCTTTCTACATGCTAATTTTGAAATGTGAAGGCACCAATGGTTTTTTAAAAATTCCTTCAATGCATACTTGCAGAATTTAGGAAATAGGGCTCTGTGACCCCAAAACCATCAGCTGCTCCTAAGAATGAAAGGAAGTGGTTCCAGATGGTGTGGCTCAGTTATTTTAACAGAGGATCCATCCCAGCATGCTGTTTGGGGCGGGAGAAGTGGAAACTAACAGATGTGGAGACTAACGCATTCCTCATTTTCTGAAGGTACCAATGGGCAACTAAAGGCTACATGAAGCTTCATGCATCTTTCTAGACAACCAGGCCAGTTCCTGATTTTTCTCCCGGAAGGTAGCGCGAGGCTGGCAGAAGCCCCCCGGGTGTCAGTACTCACGTCTGAACTCCTCCCCAGTGTGGACGTGGAGGCATCCTCACGGCTGTCCACCCCAGGCTGCCCGAACTGCTCGGCCTGGAACACAAGTAGGCCCCCAGTCATCTCCCGGTGAGAGCAGGATCACACGCAACAGTCACTCTTAGCAGCTATTAAAGCAAAACACGCGGGCCTGGCCATTCCACGAGGCAGCAACATCTGCACGAACAGCTCTAATCCAAGGCCATGACCCTCAGCCAAGAACCTGAAAGTTCTAAAATAGCCCCTGATCAGTGCTCATGGATCTGAAAACAACAATTTTGAAATCCATGACTCATGAGTATAGATTTTTTTGTCTTTTTCCCCAAAACAGCTCTTAGAAAGTTATGCAACATGAAAACAGCAATGGATCTGAGATGATGATGTTGTTCAGTTGCTCAGCTGTGTCCGACTCTTTGAGACCCCATGGACTGCAGCACGCCAGGCTTCCCTGTCCTTCACTATCTCTTGGAGTTTGCTCAAACTCATGTCCGTTGAGTCCGTGACGCCATCCAACCACCTTGTCCTCTGGCAGCCCCCTTTTGTCTTTCACCTTTCCCAGTATCAGGGTCTTTTCCAGTGAGTCAGCTCTTTGCATCAGGTGGCCAAAGGACTGGAGCTTCAGCATCAGTCCTTTCAATGAATATTCGAGGCAATTAAGTAGGGTTTTGAGAATGTCTATGTTTTAAATTCAGTTTACCATGGCATTGCTGATTGGGCATCCATGGAAACTCATCTCACTCTCTGCCCGTAAAAGGTGAACAATAATTACATGTCACTTCATTGTGTAAAAGAAAGTTTCCCTTGATCTGGATGGTGCGGTGAGCTCCAGCCAGAGAATCACCGGGAAGCACTGGAAAATACTGCTTCCGGGCCCCACCTACCCTCTCAAATGAGGATCTCTGGGGGCGTGACCCAAGAATTCAGCAGCTACACTAGATCTTAAGGTGATTCTAAGGTATCTTTCACTAGATCTTAAGGTGATTCTAAGGTATCTTTCAGAAGCACTGGGTTAGGAGAATAAATAATGCAAAAATAATACAAAAAATTATCACATCAAAAACATTAAATTTTTTTAATGTTAAAATTAAATTAACAATTAAATTAAATTAATGTTAAATTTTAACATTTAAATTAAATTTAAATTTAAATTTTAAAGCAAGGAAAGATATCTACCCTCATTAAATTTAGCCAAAATGATATCCCTTTAAATATATTCTCTATAAGAGATTTTATACACACAGATGCATATTGTTTTCCTTTAAGCAGATAAGGGAAGACTCACTTTAGCTTTAAATGTCACCATTCTTACTATTCTCTTCTCAGACATTAGTAGACTATCTGACATCACAGGATTTTAGAAACCATTTAAAAATGATTTACTCAAAACCCTCTTGTTCTTAATGTAGAAAAATTGAGACTCAGGCTTGTCAGGCATGTGCAATGTGTGGGTGATGAGAGCTAGGCTCTGGAAAGACAGGTGTCTGAACTTGGGCAACTTTGAACACCAGGATTCACTGAAAGTGCACAGCTCTTACAGGTGCCTTTACCTGTAAAATGGGGTTGATCCTACCTCTCTCAACCGGTCTATAGAAGATTAAAGGAAGCTACTGTTAGCATAGCAGCTCAAACAATAAAAACAGAGAGAAGCAAGGAAGGAAGAAGCTAATGCCCAAAACAACAAATAATCTAGTAAGGTTATGATTGACTAAGAGAAGTTGAACACAAAACAAAATAAATAAATGAGAAAGATGAAGTGCATGAGAAAGGAAAAACAGTTCTAGTTAGCCCAAGACTGAAGAAACGTGGGTATGGCAGAGACAGAACCCCTGGGACCCACAGACCAGGCTTCCTTGTCATCTGGGACACTTTCACAGGTCTTTCAGCCTCTTACAGAGGCTAATCCATCAGGCCAAGACTGTCTGGATGTTTCAGGCTCTTGTTCTGCTTAAAACAAAGGCATTTCTGGATTTTTTTTAATTGGTTTTGCTTGCAGTTTCATCTATCAAAAGGAGCAAGATACAAGAAGAAGGACTCTGGAGAGTTCAGTGTGAGAACAGGGTAGATTTGCTGTGGATTAGAATTGTGAGGACCAAGCAGGACAGCCCTGCCTGCAGTCCCAGCAAACGGACCTCAGAGTGTCAGGAGCCCTATTGCTCAGCCATCAAAAAGAACAAAATCTGCAGCAATGTGGGTGGACGCAGAGATTACCCCACCAAGTGAAGTAAGCCAGGCAGAGAAAGACAAATACCATACACTATGACTTTGTGGAATCTGAAATATGATACAAATCAGTATATCTATGAAACAGAAACTGACTCACAGACATACTACATTCAGAATCCTGTGATAAACCATGATGGAAAAGAATATGAAAAAATATATACGTGTGTAACTGAATCACTTTATTGTACAGCAGACATTAACACACCATTATAAACCAACTACACTTAAAAACTTTTTTTTAAAGATGTCAGGTATCAGAAAACCAACATTTATAGAGTGAAGGGAAATTCACATGGGAAACCCTGAATTTGTAATTTCAAGTAATTCTGGCAGAAAAGCAAAGGATAAGGGAGGCAGGAAGAGCAGGCTGACAGGGATGGGGTAGGAAAGGCTCACAGATCTTAAGCAGAGGCACACAGGAACCAAAGATTTTCAAAGAACACATGGAAACGTGGGGTAAACACATACAGTTAGTAATGACAGAGAACCACAAAACCACAACCAAAGCATCAGAAGATCAAGAGCAATGAGCTAAGTAAAGTAAGTCAGAAAGAGAAATGTTGTGCATTAACACATATATATGGAATATAGGAAAAGGGTACCGACGAAGCTATTTGCTGGGCAGGAACAGAGATGCAGACATAGGGAATGGATGTGTGGACAGTGTGGGAAGGAGGAGGTGGGACAGACAGAGTCGCACTGACATATGCACCCTACCAGGCTTCTCCGGTGGCTCAGCGGCCAAGACCCGCCGCCAAGCAGGAGTGTGTGCGCTTAGTCACTCAGTCGTGTCCGACTTTTTACCAAGCAGGAGATGTGGCTTCAACCCCTGGGTAGGGAAGATCCCCTAGAGGAGGAAGTGGCACCCCACTCCAGGATTCTTGATGGGAAAATCACAAGGATAGAGAAGCCTGGTGGGCTACAGTCCAGGGGGCCGCAAGAGTCAGACATGGCTTAGCAACTAAACAAGGTGTAAGAGAGCTAGCTGGCGGGAAGCTGCTCTATCGCACGGGGGGCTCAGCTTGCTGGCCTGTGATGACCCACAGGACTCAGCTAAGTCACCCACTCAGGAGGGCGTGGGAGGGAGGGTGTGTATGTGTAAACACAGCTGATTCACGTCTGTTGCACAGCACAAACTAACACGACGTTGTAAAATCCCAGCCAGCCAAGGCAGGAAATGTAAGAGACTTGGGTTCCATCCCTGGGTCCAGAAGATCCCCTGGAGAAGGGCATGGCAACCCATTCCAGTATTCTTGCCTGAGAATCCCATGGACAGAGGAGCCTGTGATCCACAGGGTTGCAACGAGTCGGACACAACTGAAATGACCTAGCAGGCACGCACGCATGGAAAACAATACACTCCAGTGTTTCTTAAAACCAATGAGCTAGGATTTGGGAGAAACTCCTGAGTTCTCTCTGGCCACAAGCTTCCACCTAATCTGCTCACTAAGCTCTCACCGATGAACCAAAGCCGACCCAGGATCTAACGCCTGGACTCTGAGCAAGTTTCTTTATTTCTTTGTGCCCCAGCATCCTCACTGGGACCTGGGGTAATGGTTATATCAGCCCCATGGGCTCTGGAAGGTCAAGACCCAGGCAGGCTGGTGCACAGACTCAGAGGTCCACATGATCGGAAGAGAAGGCTCTGGACCAACCTATGTTTACCCTCCTCACACCTCTAATGCTCTGTGGATGGTGGACGCTTCCAAACCCAGCTGGTGGGCTAAATGCTAATGTTCCACACAACAGTTCTTTTTCTCGTGCCATCCACTATTGAGGAGAAAATACTTGACACAGCAAAATAAACCTTTTAAAACTAACATAATAGGGTCACAAGCACTCCCTTTCTTTGTACTTAGAAGGCATATATGACTTAAGAAATTCCAAGATGATTTTAAGTGTCTTCATTTTTTGTTCTCTGTATTATGACTTCCCTGGTGGTTCAGATGGTAAAGAATGAGCCTGCAATGTGGGAGATCCAGGTTCATTCCATGGGGGGATATCCCCTGGAGAAGGGGATCTTTGTGTAAATGTAACCTATACCACACATTCACTCATCCATCCATCCAGAGGATGTTTACTTAGCTTCAGCCTCCTATCAGGACTGTGGAGGTACCAACAGAGAAGGCTCATGGCTTCATGTTCTGTCAGTAAATAGACCACCATCACCCAAGACCTCTTAGGAGTCAAGTGTAGGGTATGGGCAGGCATTTCAGTGCATACTGACATATGTTCCCTTTTCCCTGAAGGGATTAATATGCTCACATATATTAAGAAAAATTCCAAGATAGGCAGAGGACAAACATCTCAAAAAACTCTGTACAGAACACAGAATCATATGTGTATGTAAACAATTACCTTACTATTGCTTCTTTTATTAACTTTGAAAAATCCCAGAAATTTTTTCTTCTCTTTGTCTGTCTCATCATTGCTGAGTGAAGATTTTCTAAAGGTTTCTGAAAAAAATAGAAGTACTAAGTTATTTTCAGCATATGAAACAAGAGATTAAACACTTAAAAATCTTTACAAATGCTTCTTTGTTTTACTCTACTCTTAGACTTTTATTTCATTCTTCAGTTCAGTTCAGTTCAGTCGCTCAGTCATGTCCAACTCGAACTGCAGCCTGCCAGGCCTCCCTGTCCATCACCAACTCCCGGAGTCCACCCAAACTCATGTCCATCGAGTCGGTGATGCCATCCAGCCATCTCATCCTCTGTCGTCCCCTTCTCCTGTCCCCAATCCCTCCCAGCATCAGGGTCTTTTCCAATGAGTCAACTCTTCGCATGAGGTGGCCAAAGTACTGGAGTTTCAGCTTCAGCATCAGTCCTTTCAATGAACACCCAGGACTGATCTCCTTTAGGATGGACTGGTTGGATCTCCTTGCAGTCCAAGGGACTCTTAACAGTCTTCTCCAACACCACAATTCAAAAGCATTAATTCTTCCACGCTCAGCTTTCTTTATAGTCCAACTCTCACATCCATACATGACCACTGGTAAAACCATAGCCTTGACTAGACAGACCTTTGTTGGCAATGTAATGTCTCTGTTTTTTAATATGCTGTCTAGGTTGTTCATAACTTTCCTTCCAAGGAGTAAGCGTCTTTTAATTTCATGGCTGCAATCAACATAAAACCATCAACTATTTCTTTCAAAGCATTTTGAGCCACCTTAAAACCTCCAGTTGGGTTTATGAAATTACTAAATGTTTTGACAACCTTTGGTATTTAAAAAGAAACAAAAACAAGAAATCCAAAAGTTTTAGGGCAGTACTGTGTACAGAAAAACAAAGGGATGATATAGGTAATTTTAGATTCTCTAGTAGATGCATCACAAAGAACCAGGTGAAATTAATTTTTACATCTCTTACTTAACCCAAGAGATCTAAAATATTATCATTCCATCACATAATCCATGTGTAATTATTAATGCGCTGTCATATTCATTTTGGTACTAAGCCTTCAGATCGCAGTGTGCGTGGCACAGTGCTCCCAGCTTAGACTGGCCCCAAGTCAGGTGCCTGCCGACCACAGCTGGCTGTGACCATCAGACTGCACAGCAGAGCTCTCGTGACTGAGACATCTGTGCAGAACACCTGCTTTAGGAATTATGAGGGTGGTGGTCAAAGAGGCAAGCTAAATAAACTACATCAACAGCTCCGCTGCTCGGAGGACCCACCGGTTTCCAGAACTTGGAGGGACAGCGCTGGTTTACCTAGGGATGTCTGAGACAGCCACATCAGGCCCCCATATGACCCAGGGCCCCAGGTTTTCCTTCCTCTTCATCAACCAGGATGTTTTCCATTTTCACTTCATTCTCTAGGGGCCCGTTTTTCCTCTATTATGCTTTTTTATTCTTGACTTCTAAACACTCCATCTTCTCCTTTTCCTGGAGTTTTCTTCATTGAAATTTGTCAAGCAAGAATGGGCACGCTCAGGTTCTAGGTGAGGACACTGGAACCCAGGAGGGAGCTGAGGACAGAGTCACGACCTGTGGTCTCCAGGGTGAGGCGGCACCACCCGCAGCAGCGTCCTTGGGGCCTGGGGCCAAAGAGGCTCAAACATGGGGAACTCTGGGGTGGGGCCCAGCGCCCTGCACTCAAAAAGTACCCTCACCTTGGGTGCGTAAGCTGTGGGGACTGCACTTGAGAGCTAGGGGAGTTAAGAGTGCTGCAGTGTGGGCCTGCTCTGGCCCCAGTTTACTCATCTGCAGTTAAGGGCACTGTTGCGGGCATACTCTGGGCCCAGTACACTCATCTGCAGACTGAGCCTGGCACACTCAGTGCCACCACGACCTCTATGACCATTATCCACTGATCTGCTGACACTCTGAAGGCCACTCCAGCCCTTGTCATCAACTCATCTGTTCTTTTCTTCCAAGACACAGATACGGCCAGAGGAGAAGACATTGAGGTGATGCAGGAGAACCGAAAAATGAATTACTCCATACCACCGCCAAGTGCTGAAGGATAGGCCGCCAGTCCACTGGCAGCATGAGGACTGGATTTCACAAACTCTGCCACCAAGATACCAACCCGAGCCAGGTAAACATCAATGAACATCTGCTAACCCAGAATTCCATATTCCAACTAGAGAAGGCTGACATGGAAGTCAGTGCCCCTGTAACATGCATCTACACAATACCGTCTTCACAAAGAAGCAAAAACCAAGCCCCTGGATCCCTGCATTCTGTTAGTGGCAAAGGCTCCCATCTTATTCACAAGGGTCAGGCCTCTCAGCTGCATGCATGTGGCTCCAGCCCAGCCCATCAGCAGCCTCACACCACACGACAACCAAACCAGCAAGGATACCGGCTTCAATGGTGAGGCATGCATTTCCCCAATATGCATGTCCACATGGGGTTCACAGTTAATTGCATCAAACCCTTTGTTAGGCACAGAGCCTATAGTAAAATATTCTGTAGTACAGAGTAAAACTATATGTGAACAACAGTATGCACCAACGTGTGTGTGTGTGTGTGTGTGTGTGTGTGTGTGTGTTTAAATTTGTTTATTTTTAATTGAAAGGTAACTGCTCTACAGAACTGACAGAAACCACTCGGTTTCTATCAAAGACCAACATGAATCAGTCATAGGTTTACCCATGTCCCCTCCCACGTGAACTTGCCTCCCACCTCCCTCCCAAGACCACCCATCTAGGTTGTTTCTAGAATTGACTGCTCTGTGACCGGATGTGCAAAGTGCAGGATATGAGCGCCTGCGAGTTGAGCGAGAAAGAACACATCACAGGCACACAGGCTGTTACGCCAACCTCACCACCATAGACCGGGTCAAAACAGAGCCTCTCATTTCTCTCCCTGGAGGGGGCAGCGGCGGGTCACCAGCCCCAGGACAGAGGCTCTGGCCACCCCGGCACAGCGCCGCCCCTCGGGGCCCCAGAGACTGCAGCCCCCAGCTGTCTGGCTCTGAGCTGAGCCGCAGGCAGACTGTCTAATCTCGGTGCCTCTGGACTGATGGAGCCTCCGGTGAGGTGTGCGACGGGCAGGCACTGGGGGAAGGGTGATATGGAGAACAGAGTGGGAGCATTTGGCTCTCCTGACAGTGTTCCCATCAGCCAAAGCTCCACGCGGTGCCCTGCCAGGCCTGGGGAAAATCCTCATCACCCAGGAGCCTGAATCCATCATTCTAAGTGTATAACAATTTGACTGTGGAATTTATTTTATTTTGATGTATTCTCATTTACTAAGACTTAAATATGAATGCAAGTGTGGGGAGGACATACTTCATCCTTAAAGCACATACTCTTTGGAAACATCAGAATGATTTAGAAGGTGATACAGGTGAGCTGAGGGATGCAGAGGGATGGAGCAAGCAGCAGGGACCCCTGAGGACTAGCTCATCTGAAACATCCACTCTTCCAGATGTGGAAACAGAACAGCCATCAGCAAGGGGAACCAGGTCTGCACTGCATGAAAACAACACGTTTGTAAGGGCCCATCCTCATCACAGGACCACCAGGTATGGGGCCAAAAAAGAACAGTTGTAATAGCTCTAATCCAGCTTTTCCACACTTGCAGCTAGATGGTATACCAACATCAATCACTCAGAACTGACAAAGCCTTCATATATAGGTACTTTCTGTTCAAAACAACTATCTATTCATGGTGCTGCTTTTTCTGATTGGACTACAGTTGATTTACAATACTGTGCTAGTTTCATGTGTAAAGCAAAGTGATTCAGTTATCTCTGTAGAGAGATACATGTATACATACACACTCTTTTCAGATTGTTTTCCATTATAGGTTATTACAAATATTGATTATACTTCCCTGTGCTATCCAGTATATCCTTGTTGCTATTTTATATACAGTAGTGTGTATATGTTAACTCTAAACTCCTAATTTATCCCTCCCCCACTTTCCTCTTTGGTAACTGTAAGTTTATTCTCTATGTTTCTGAGGCTATTTATGCTTTGTAAATAAGTTCATTTCTATCATTTTTTTTTAGGTTTCACATATAAGCGACATCATATGATACTTGTCTTTGTCTGCCTTACTTCACTTAGTAAGGTAATCTCCAAATTCATCCACGTTGCTGCAAATGGCATTTCATTCTTGTTATGGCTGAGTAATATTCCATTGTTACCATATCTTCTTTATCCATTCAAAGGTTAATGAACCTTTGGGTTGTTTCCATGTCTTGGCTAAAATAAATACTGCTCCTATGAACACTGGGATGCAAGCATCTTTTTGAATTAAGTTTTTGTCTTTTCCAGGTATAGGTCCAGGAGTGGGACCGTAGGATCATATGGCAATGTTTTAGTTCTTCAAGGAATCTATAGACTGTTCTCCATAGTGGTTGCACCAATTTATTGGGTTGGCCAAAGAGTTCATTTCAATTTTTCCATAAGATGTTACAGAAAACAAACCAGAACGACTTTTTGGCCAATCCAATACCTTCCTGCCAACAGTGCTGGTGGTTCCTTTCTCTCCACATCTCCAGCGTTTCTTATTTGTAGACTTTTAAACTATGGCCATTCTGATCAGTTTTGATTTGCATTTCTCTAACAATTCCTGATGTGGAACATATTGTCATGTGCCTGTTGGCCATCCATGTCTTCTCTGGAGAGATGTGTATGGTGTTTCTTAAAAGAGATTCCCTCTATTTGCAGCATTAATTGGCAGCGTATGATGGAGGAGGTAACATGAGGAATATGAAGGGTGGCTGAGGCCATAGTGCTCTCACTCATGACACCCGGACTGTGGCTCCAGACCAAAGCCAAGGGATTTTTTGCATTATCTTTTTCTAGAAGTAAAGTTTATTGTTAAACACTTTAACAAACGTGGACAGAAATTTCTGCAAAATATGAACACTCGTAATTTTAATGATCGTCTTGGAGTATATGTGTGTATAGTCCAAAAGGTTTATATAAATCTCAATATGTGTGTGTGCCTACATGTCTATGTAAATATGTTCATGCATATGTATATATGTATTATTAAATATAATATATATCTATTTATAATAAATATAATACATAAAGTATATACAATTTATAAGAAATGAATGCAAAATCTGGACTAATCACTTCCATATTTGTCTATGACAGAAAAGGTCAGATTTCACAATCCACACTGCCCCAATTTCTGCAGTGGGCAGGACAGACCCTGAGGGCACGTAAGGCCAGGCAAGAAGGGTACAGTGCCTCTTGTGCATGGACCACGTCTGCTCTGCACTCAAATTCTGTGTTCATGAAAGGCCCATTTTCTACAATGACATCCTTCTTTTCTCACCAATCAGAACCACACAGCAAATCCTCACGCAGGGAACATTGTTCTCTTAGCCAACCAGGGAGTCAAGAAACCAAGTCACAGCCTCAGTTCAGCCTGGCCAGGTGCCCCCAGCATGTCACCCTGCCTCCCCTCAAGTCACTCCATGCACCACTGTCTCAGCCCAGAGCCATGCAAAGTGCAGTCTGGCAGGGCAGCGCTGGGCTGACGGTACCTCGACAGCTCAGGGAAGGCTCCGACTTCGTTTTGGTCAGAAGAACTGGAAAAGGCAGGCAACAGAGAGTGAAGACAGGCTTCTTGACCCCAGCAGCACCTGACAAGGCCTGCAGCTATCACCGACCTTGATCCCCCAGAATCCTGCCACCGCCTGGCTGCTAAACACCATCCTGGCAGCAGGTGGCAGCAAAGCCTCTGTCTTCTCCAGCTGCCACCACCAGGATTTCCAGGGCAGAGCAGGCCTTGCCTGGGACACATCTCCGGCCCACGACTGTCACCCTTCCCCAAGCAGCTGCTGGCTGGGAGATGGTGAAACCCCAGATGAGCAAAGGAAAGGGCTCCTCATGGAGAGGAATGTTCTCTTCTCTACTCAGATGTCTGACTGCCAGGAGGGCGGGAGGGAAGCATATGGCGAGGATGCTAATCAAATATTTCACGGCCCACAGGGCACACTACGGTCCAGACAAAAGGGATGTTGGCCCCAGGAGCAGCACCCCCCCCCCCCCAAAGCCAGGAGATGCTCCTTTATTTTCTGGGAAGGCTGCCAGGGTCACAGGGCAAGGCCTTGGGAGGGTGCCCAAGGCAGAGAAGAGGGGGTTGGGGGTTGGGGTAGCTATTTCTCCTGGTGCGGCAGTGTGTCCGGTCCTGCATGGGTATCAGACAAGGGAGCTTGAGCCTTGGGGGAGTTCCCCTCTTGCTGCCTCACCCATGTTCCCGGAAGACCACAGTCTCGCTGGGCCCACTCCTTACTGCAGAGATTGGTTTTATATGCTTTTCCCAGGTATTAGGTCCTACATCTCCCAAGATGGGCTTCCCTGGCGGCTCAGATGGTAAAGAATCAGCCTGCAATGTAGGAGACCTGGGTTCGATCCCTGGGTTGGGAGGATCCGCTAGAGAAGGGAATGGCTACCCACTCCAGTACTCTTGCCTGGAGAATTCCATGGACAGAGGAGCCAGAATGGCTACAGCCCATGGGGAGGCAAAAAGTCAGACACGGCTGAAGTGACTGAGCGAGCGAGTGAGAAGGAATTTTGCAACTGGTCTCGATCATGAGCAATGCATGAGACTTGGGAGTATTTAATGGCAACTGAAAAGAAAATCCAGGAGAACAAGGTTCACATGTGGTTTCTGAGAAGTTCTTTGAGAACAAAAGCCCTAGTATTCTCATCTTTCCCCTTTCTACATATCTCATGGAAGCTCACAGGAGACAAGGGGTAATGGGTATGCTCACTGCTGGGGAGAATGGAGAAGGAAATGGCAACGCACTCCAGTACTCTTGCCTGGAGAATCCCATGGACAGAGGAGCCTGCTGAGTCACAGTCCATAGGGTCTCAGAGAGTCGGACATGACAAGCAGCTGAGCGCGCACTACTGCGGGAAAGAGGTATAATTACAGTCTGTGTATTTTACCTCCCACCCACTCCCGCTCTGGTTTGGACCAAATTGGAGATGCCTGCAAACGTGCGTCTGCATCGCTCTGTGTGAGGGCACACGGGCAGGGCGTCAGTGGTACCGCATCGAAGACCCAAGGAGGCCTCACCTCGCTTGTTGTCCCAGGCGTACAGCTCCTGTATCCCCAGCTCGCTCAGGGACTTGGAGAGCTCCAGTTCCTCGCCGGCCACACTGTCCGCGAGGAGCACCACGTGCTCTGGGCTGACCTCACACTTGGCGCAGATGACCGGCAGGAGGCTTTGCAGGGGCACGTCGGGGCTCACGCGCACCACCGCCTTCTGCGTGCGCAGGTAATTCACCACTAGACGCACCGTTTTCTGGAAAACACAGCAGGCAGAATTCCATGAGCACATCTTCCCACAGCTCTGCTTACACTACAGTGGAGCAGGGCAACATTTCCTGTGGGTCCAGGTCTTCCAAAAGTCACTGGGTTGTGGGGGAAAACAGCAGGTTGAAGAGGGAATGGTAAATGTCTAGAACAATAAATTGACCTTCCCGTCTCTTTTGCTAATGAACAAACTGTGAATGAAAGGGGGAAATGGGCAGCAGAGAGGATCCCAGTTTGGAATCTAACACACGTATTGTCTTTCATGGATTCTAAACAGACCCGAGCACAAGGCACTAATATATTTTCTAAAGGGAAATAGTTTGGACCTATGGTGAACAATCCAAGATAAGGGAAAAAAAATCACAAAACATCAAATTTTTGTTAAAGAAGCTAAAATGCCCAGATAAATATACTCCTATCTAGTATCATGTTGACATATATATACACTACACATATATATTTAAGCTAGAAAAATATATAGGCTTAGATGGTAAAGAATCTGCCTACAATGCATGAGACCTTGGTTTGACCCCTGGGTTGGGAAGATCCTCTGGAGAAAGGAATACCTACGAACTCCAGTATTCTTGCCTGGAGAATTCCATGGACAGAGAAGCCTGGAGTGATATAGTCTATGGGGTTGCAATATCAAATATTCACTTAAGAAGCTAAAATACCCACATAAATATATTCGTATATATTATAATGTTAATATATAAATCAATTTTCATAAATATGCACTGCACACACATATTTAAGCTAGAAAAATAGAGATGTATAAATATATTAGGCATATAACAATATTGATAGATACTATAATCAGAAAGAGAAAAGTCAGTTTGACTAAAGCCGATCGTAAGTGTCTACAGATCGAGTGGCCTATCAAAAGCTGTAGCAGGCTGCGGTTCACGCAGAGTCAGCTTCTGTTTGGTCTTTACTGGTCACCACATGGTTCTAAAGTCCTGAGGAGTACCGACTGAATGACACAGGTCTCACACTCCCTTCCGATCTGAGGCCGGGGTTTAATGAATTTTAGAAGGAAAGATGGAACCATGAATCTTTTCCATGCTTCTCAAATTGAACTCCTATATAACCCCGGGCTCACCTGCACCTGGAATTTGCAGCTAGGGTTCAGGAACGTAAGAAAAGCCACAGAATATAAAAGGAATTTCCTCGAATATTGATTTTAATTGAAGAATTAGGGGAAACTCAGAATATGCGTGTGTGTGTGTGCACGCTCAGTCATGTCTGACTCTGCAGCCCCGTGGACGATAGCCTGCCAGGTTCCTCTGTCAACGGAATTTTCCAGGCAAGAATACTGGAGTGGGTTGCCATTTCCTTCTCCGGGGGATCTTCCTGACCCAAGGATTGAGTCTGAGTTTCCTGTGTCTCCTGCATTGGCAGCCAGATTCTTTGCCACTGAGCCACCTAGCGATGGCACCAATTAAAAGTTATTAATTATCTAAACCTAGAAGACATGCCCTGTTGGCCAAAGTGTACCATGTTTAAAAATAAGGAAATTTAGGAGATAGTTCAATAATCTAAAAGAATGAAATAGCATTGTTTTTCATTGGAGATAAAGGATAAAAGCCTTATTAAAAATTACAGTAAGCAGATGAAGTTATCTTTAATCAATACGCAAAAGCCTGAAACCTATGCTTAAAATATTCTCCAAGTACAAGGAATAAGTATTTCTAACATCAAATTTTCAAAAGGGAATCCCCTTCTATTTCCTTTCTTGGAGAAGATCTTAGAATCTTCTACATATTCCAATCTCTGCTATGGACAGGAAGGCCTCCAGAACTCTACTGGAACCTTTAGGACTAGTCCAGTATGGTAGACATTGGCTATTTGTGCTATTTCAATTAAATTTAAGGAATGCAAAGCTCAGTTTTTTGATCACACTAGCTACATTTCACATGCTCAGTGGCTATATGTAATCAGGGGCTGTTGGCTTGCAGGGAGCAGAATTATAGACCATTTCCATCTTTGCAGAAAGCTTTGATGGGTGGTTCTGCTCTAGAGTGGGTCCTTTTTTTTTGACATCTAAAGGAGCAGTGTTACACAATGCGCATTATTCAAAGCTGTGAACTTAGGTCTCCTAAAACTCCATTTAGGGCCTAACTTTGCCTGCCATGCAAGTGGAAGCCTCAGCCGTGGCGTGTGTAACTTAGACAGGAGGGACTCCAGCGGCCCCTCCTCTCCACCTGCAGTACCCCGGGCCCCAGGGAGCTGCACACATCCTCATGTGACACACGGGCTCCCGTGCTACTGACCTCAGGCACCTTAGGGGGAACAGGCTTAACCTTCGCTTCAGGAACTTTTTCTTTCAGAAATACGGTGTGCACATTCAAGGTCCCAACTAAAGTATTTGGCTTAAAATTCAAAGGCTGTTGGGTTTCTGAAGACCGGATCTCCAGGGCATGGTTGGAAGGATTCAGGTGGTTCTGAAGGCAAAGTTCAACCAGTAGGTCCATCATTGCGTGGCTGGAAGAGAGAAACAGACCATGGTCATGGGGAATGTCTGCACTCTCCCTTCTGCTGGTTGAGAGAGGTCAGGACTAATGCACTGGTGGGTAGAGGAGCAAATTGGTCATCCTTATGAAGAAAGAAAACAGCTGCTGGTTAATTCCTCATTCATGACTGTACAGAGATATCTTAATACAGTCAACACTAAGAAATCACAGTACTGAAAACACCATCAAAATCAGAATAGCTGGAAAAATAGTTGCATTTCTAGTTAAGCCCATGAGTAAATTGACCACAATCCTGTAAGATCAGCACAGATGATATTAACTTCTGGACACAAGGTATAAAATTTTCATTCTTTGCAAACATAGTGTATCTTAAACAGCAAAGTTTTAAGTTGAAGAAGACAATGGCTTTCTTTATAGCTAGAAAGTATGCTTTTTAAAGACAAAGAAAAGGAAAATTACCTTATCGAAATGTCAAAAACTTTTATAATGTCCCCTACCACAGATCATTATTTACTAAGGGAGCTAAAAAAGAGTGGATTGTCCCAAAGAATGTGAAATTTCATTTCCATCAGTCATATTAAGCTGGCAGAATGCTTTTATATTTCAAGCTGACCTCTTTTTTCCTACACATTTCCTGAGCAGTGGGGCATAAACCCCTCACAAAAGTGTAGGTCTTGTCTTCTGATCTATTTCTTAACCAGGAATTGGCATAGCAATTATTTCAGGTCGTAGTGGAGCTTTCCGGATATCTGGCACGGAGGAGTGTTCAGACTTGGGACTCACGGTACACCAGAGTGGCATCAGCCAGCCACCATCTGGTCATCACTAACCTCGAGGGCTATGGAACTGAACATTGACACCACAGGCAAAGCTTCAAAGTGCCCTATGTCCCGTTCACTTACTAAAATATCAATACTGTTCTTGTTGACACAAAACATTTAACAGCCATGACAATACTTACCCCCACCTACTGTCCAGGAGGTGGTTAGGTAACAGCCTATGCTCTAACCAGGAGACCTAGAGTCACACTTAGGAGACTCAGCAGCCCACTGGTTCCCAGGACTCTGAAAGGGCACTTGGTGGGGCCAGGGCAGCACTAACCCTCACAAGGGCCATGAAGATGGGCATGCTGGCTAGTGATGCTGCCAGCTTGGCTTCCCTTGGCCTCAGAAAAGAAATCATCATTCTCTCATTAGCTTAATACATCAAAACAGAGAGTGACATCACCAGAGACTTCAAGACACTAAAGTCCATGAAAAAGTGACTTCCATGGAAAGTCAGCATGGAAAAGAGACTTGTAAGGATGCTATAATAATGACCTATTATTGTTACCATGTTCCATGTGTCCACCATAGCCCGGAGCCATTCTGTGCAGATGACACTGTTCCCTCTCATTCTCAGCATCCTGGGGGCTGGGGACCACCCTCCCCTGGTTTTCATGAGGGAAGTGGAGGTGAGGTTGGCAGCCTGGTCCCATAAGATGCCAACTGTCACTTCACCTCTCTCAACTACACTCACAGTCAGCTGTGATGCTGTGCTGAGTTACTCAGTCGAGTCTGACTCTTTGCAGCCCATGGCCTGTAGCTTGCCAGGCTTCTCTGTCCATGGAATTCTTCAGGCAAGAATACTGGATTAGGTAGCCATTCCCTTCTTCAGGGCATCTTTCTGACCCAGGTCTCTTGCATTGCAGGCTGATTCTTTACCATCTGAGTCACCAGGAAAGCCCTCACCCACAGTCTACTGCCACCAAATAAACCAATATGGGTAAATTTTCAAAGAAAAGTCGAATTAATCTTAGACCATAAGCCACAAAGAGCACCAAAGCGACTAAGGTAACCTTTTGCTATTCGAATCCACTAATTGGTAACATGTTTGAAACAACGAATTTGACCTGAAAGGAGGCAGACCCACTCTGGGGCTTCTCCATCACAGAGCATGAACCCTTCTAGTAACAACAGAATCTAGGACTTCTCCTGGCATGTGCTGGCAGGAGAGTGCGGCAGCATTCGGTTTCTGGATGAAGAACCGGGTGCGCCCATCCCCACTGGTGGGCCGGCTCCTCCACAATCAGGGGGTCAGCACCCACCCAGCTGCTCTTGCTGTTCAGTCATCCTTGCTGACGGAGCTGCAGGGATGTTGCCAGCACGAGAGGGTGGAAGGAATTCTCGACAAAACGCCTGTGGGGGAGGGGAGGGAAGGGATTCCCAAGCAGAAAACTCTATGTGCTGGAGACCTGTTTCCTCAAATTTATTATTAAATTTAGTGAAGGGGGAAGCAAAAAAAAAAAAAAGAGAAAAAGAAAGAAAGACCATAATCATAAAATTCAGCAACACCACACCCTGTTCAAGGCATGTGCTGAAATTGTCTCAAGAGCACAGAGCCCATCACCAATTCAACTTGATCAGCCAAGGGGTCACAGCATTGCTTCCGAGGGCTGGGACCCAGACCAGGACTGAGGGTTTCTGCAGGAAAGTGAGGAGGTTTGGGGCATGAGAGGAGCTCAGACTTGGGAGAGCCCTCTGTTCTGCAGGCCTTTTTCTGTGACTCTCGGACAGACGTTGCAGCCTAATGCAGACTGATCTGGGTTGCATTTAAGGAGCTGGATGCATAGTATAGGGGTGAACACGAGGACACGGGTCCAAAAGCATCAGTTCTTCTCACATTTCCTGGAGGGCCTCCCACTCAGGTGATTCCTCCCCAGGCTCATGTAAAGTGTGATCTGAGTTACCACTTCCTACCCCACACTTCTATGGACAGTGTCCTCAGAAAATGGAGTGCATCTTGTGCACTGTGAAAGTGGCTGCTGACTGGCATTTAAGGTCCCCAAACTCCAAATAGCTAGCCAGGCCTTTCAGGGTCTCTGGTGCTCCTGGAGAAAGACCCGGAAGGAAGAAGATACCGCAGCACCGCAGCCGCGCCCGGCCGTGGTCACGGAGGAACCAAGTTGCCTGGTCCCTGCAGATCTGCATGTACCAGACCTCAATGTGCAGAGGACGAGAGCTTCTAGCCAGGCCCCCTGTGTGCCCTTCACTGGGCCTTGGAGAGGACTTCCCGGAGACTGGAGGAGGCAGCCTGGTTCCTCCTGCACGCTCATCGCCTCCTGAGCCGGCCTCCCCGCTACGCCTCCCACCTGAGGACTGGCACCACCTCTGACCTGCGGCCCTTTGATGAGGGGTCGGGCATGTCCACCCCCAGCCCTGTGCAGAGTGGTTTAGTGGAAGGACTCGAGACTTGGCCTACAATTATTCTCACCACCGCTCAGAGCTGTCTCTGCCCCAGGCCAAGATACACTCTTTTAAAGTAGTGTGCTTGAGGGACTGCTCACTAAAGTTTCTGCAGTCTTACAAACAAGAAAACTAGTACTCAGAGGGTCAAAACTTGATCCCAGAGGGTCAAGTCAAGAGTCAGGTGAATTAAGAAAGCTGAATAGACGAGCATCGCTAAGAACCCCAAGCACATCCCTTGGTCTCATGGTCACGCTGTATAAATGAGCCTATAAATAAAATTATGTCCCCGCATATTCACATTGATTCCTCAAATCCCAGTATGACTGTATCTGGACATGGAACCTCTAAGGATGCAATCAGGGTTAAATGAGGTCATAAGAGTGGGTGCTAATGTGACAGGATTTGTGTCATTAGAAGATGGGACATTGAGAGTTTGCTATCCCTGCAAACCCACGAGGGGGCTATGTGAGCAGAGGAGAAAGGAGGCCGCCTGTGACCAGGAAGAGGATGACATCATCCACTCAGGATGACATCACCCACAGTCACCACCATCTTGAGCCTGTGATTTCAGCCTGTAGGTTGTGTGGAATCAATGTCTGTGGTTCAGGCTGCCCTGTCTGTGATGTTGTGCAAGGCAGCCTGAACCAAGACAAAGACAGATACCACGATCAGGGGCTCTGCTCCCATCTCTGTCATCTTAAGTCCCAAGTTCAAGGGAAGACTAGCTCAGTTCAGTTCAGTCGCTCAGTCGTGTCTGACTCTTTGTGACCCCATGAATCGCAGCATGCCAGGCCTCCCTGTCCATCACCAACTTCCAGTGTCCACCCTAACCCATGTCCATTGAGTCGGTGATGCCATCCAACCATCTCATCTTCTGTCATCCCCTTCTCCTTCTGCCTTCAATCTTTCCAGCATCAGGGTCTTTTCCAATCAGTCAGTTCTTCACATCAGGTGGCCAAAGTATTGGAGTTTCAGCTTCAGCATCAGTCCTTCCAATGAACACCCAGGACTGATCTCCTTTAGGATGGACTGGTTGGATCTCCTTGCAGTCCAAGGGACTCTCAAGAGTCTTCTCCAACACCACAGTTCAAAAGCATCAATTCCTCAGTGCTCAGCTTTCTTTATAGTCCAACTCTCACATCCATACATGACTAGTGAAAAAACCACAGCCTTGACTAGATGGATCTTTGTTGACAAAAGTAATGTCTTTGCTTTTTAATGCTGCCTAGGTTGGTCATAACGTTTCTTCCAAGGAGTAAGCACCTTTAATTTCATGACTGCACCATCTGCAGTGATTTTGGAGCCCCGAAAAATAAAGTCAGCCACTGTTTCCACTGTTTCCCCAACTATTTCCCATGAAGTGATGGGACCAGATGCTATGATCTTAGGTTTCTGAATGTTGAGCTTTAAGCCAACTTTTTCACTATCCTCTTTCACTTTCATCAAGAGACTCTTTAGCTCTTCTTCACTTTCTGCCATAAGGGTGGTGTCATCTGCATATCTAAGGTTATTGATATCTCTCCTGGCAATCTTGATTTCAGCATGTGATTCATCCAGGCCAGCAATTCTCATGATGTAATCTGCATAGAAGTTAAATAAGCAGGGTGACAATATACAGCCTTGATGTACTCCTTTTCCTACTTGGAACCGCCTGTTGTTCCCTGTCCAGTTTTAACTGTTGCTTCCTGACCTGCATACAGGTTTCTCAGGAGGCAGTAGTAAGGTGGTCTGGTATTCCCATCTCTTTAAGAATTTTCCAGTGTGCTGTGATTCACACAAAGGC